CACAAAATGGATCACGATGGATCACGCAAAAACTCTGTGCACGTTGGATCCACACGACGGACAAATGCTTTGTGAGCACCTCCTAGGTAGAGACCCTTGTGCGTTTCTTTAAATGACGACCTCGAACAAGGTACGAGTAGATTGGCTCTTCAAGAACACACGCTCATGACACGCTCATGACACACATCTTCTCCCTCCGAGTGCTGGAACATTTTCCGCAACATGTAGCAACCAACTCTTGTTACATCTGTTTTCCCTTGCCTGGCCCTGGCCATTCGAGTGTTTGAATCATCATCCATTGATTCATAAAGTTGGACACTGCCCCCATCAACACTACACCTGTCAAAATATAAGAATTGCTCATGTGGGGCACGTTTTGGCAAGGTCTGTTTAGGCCTTGTGTCAAGCTTATTATCTTCATTGATTGGAAGGGCTTATTATTGACAGCAAATAAGCCCATTACAGGAAATCAGGTCGCCTACAAAGAGGGCAAAGCCTAATCAAGCCTTGTGCCTTTTTGGGAAATCAAGTATGTCGATGCAGTGGAGTTGGCAAAATCCCTGGGATTCATCGTTCCAAGATCAAGGTATTTGGGTGAGTCCCGCAGGCGACAATTTTGCTAACGCCAAAGAGAATAGCCTAATCTCTTTTCCTGCGACTCTGGTTTTTAGGCTAAACTTCCAGCGCGCCGTTTCTGAAGATTTGCCCTTTGCATTCCTTTGCTGTTTGCGTGTTCCAAGACAGTGGTCTTGGAAAATGATGTTAACGCCCAAAAGAATAGTATAGCCTAATATCTTTTCCTGCAACTCTGGTTCTTCGATTCTGTCATTAATGGAATAGAAATTAGGCTATACTGCCCTTAAAATATTAGTCCCGATTAGCCTAATCTTGAAATAGATCTGCAGGTCTGCGACAAACAAACGCTTTCGGCCTTCTTCCTCGAGATTAGGCTAATATTTTGAGGGGTGCAGTGTTGAGGGGGGCAGTGTCCAACTTTGTGATTGATTGCCGGGTTCTCACACATCTCACGGGTTCTCACCGATCGGATCTGAAAACCAACCGATCGGTGACACCATGTGCAAGGGCAAGGGCATGCTGCTTGGAACCAAATTCTTTAGGGTTTGAACACCGAGTTGCTTCCTCACTTTGCTCTTCCAGATCCTTCCACAGCTCATGCCCCAAACAAGCCTCACGGCGGCCAACTCACCAGACCCAATTTTTTTGGATTTGGGCGTACCTCATTTCAGTGCAGAACACCGGCAAAAAAGCAGACTCTGTCAATTGACGAAAACCCACGGGTTGCTCCCACAGCTTTAATATCAATTTGAATCCAAGAACATGCTTCTTTCTCCACTACTTGCGTTGTGATAAGACTGTATCTTGAAGATGTCTTGCATGGTATCAGCGAGTGATCGTCAAAGAACATCAATCAACTAGACGTCCTTCCAACAATCATGGAAGTGAACAGATTGGAAGACGACTTTCCTCTACAAGCAGGATATGTTCCACCATGTTCCACCTCTATGGTCGTTGGCAGGAGTGTTCACGCAGTGAGACCAATGTTGAAGAACACTTGAAAGGCTAAAAATCAATGATTGACTCATGACTTGTCGGAGGGTTCTTCAGAAGGTGGGTACCGATGGAATCAAAAGTTGAAACTCGAGGATCGGGACACAGTTCTGTGATGACAACCTCTGCTTTGCGGACCACGAAGGAGGAGAAAACATGAGAAGCCTGGTGTGACAAGCAGCCTACCACCTGCAACCAAACAAACCTCTCAACCAAACGAGGACAAACAAATATTATCTCCCTGTGCCGCACGAGCCGGAGGGCAAGGGGGGAGAAATCTAGGCTTAGTTTGGTTCAAGTGCCTGGGAAAACAAACGTGAATGTTGCAATAAGTGTGGCAGAATATACACATGTCACATGTTGGTGTCATTCAATTTCTTGCTGTTTATGTTTTTCACATTCAAAAAAACCTGTGACACATGTAATGATGTATTTTATGTTCACATCATCGCGGCCGCAGCAACATGGGAGACAGTTGGACATTTTTGATGTCGTAGCAGTGATACACCACACTAACACGGATCATGTCTGGTGCCCTCTACAGGTTGCACATGCCTACAAGGAAAAGTAATTCAACTGCGTCTTCCATCGTCGATTCACGCTCCAAAGTTTGTGGATGCATTGGCACAATCGAAGCAGGTGTTTTGAAGTGGGCTACAGTTTCCAAGCATCATGTAACTCCCGTCAATGCTTCTGCGTCCGCCAGTAGCAGTAGCAGTAGCAGTAGTAGTAGTAGTAGTAGTAGTAGTAGTCTATGACGAACATGATGCGAAGATATGCGAAGTGTTTGTACTTAGTATGTCGGGGCCGATTGGCTCCTCCTGCTCGTTGTGAGCTCATACCTGAATTACTTGCTCCTCCTTGATTACTTGATGTTACTTGAAAAGCTCCTGCTGTCAGATATGCTTTTGTATGGCAAAGCTCGCTCACCCCGCAGGGGCCTGAAGTACCGGGCAACAGAGGAATGCACCTCTGCAGACGTACCTTGCCTGAAATGATAGAGTGGCCAACTTTGATATCACCAAATCAAACCAAGCCCCTTCTGAACTGGCATGCAACAATGAAGTTAGAAAGTTATATAAGAGTTAAGTGTAGCCGTTAGCTTGCCCATGACTCCATGGCTTGCGCGCGTGCACACACTTATAGAAATGCATAAATACTGACTTGACAGCGGTGCCACACGACAGCCTAAAATAAAAAACCTAAGAAAGCAGAGTTCAGATCTTCCACGGTTCCAAAATCTCAAGCCTCCAAAGCTCTGGGTTCCACATTGCAACATCACGAAACGATCGATCGACAACGACGACGGAACGTGCAGAGTCTGCAGATGAAGAACCGGTGCAAAGGCCAGAATCTTGTTGTAGTTAAAAGCAGGGACCATTGGGAATTTCCAGGTGACAACAAGCTGGTACGTCGATTTGGCGTCCCAAATCGATTTCACAGACCAATGCAAGCGTCTTTGTTAGTGCCAGACTTGCACGGTCCCTGGCACCCCCTGCTAAAAGAAAAAGAAGCTTCACAATCCTAAAGGATCCCTGTGATTTCAAGGGGCAGACACACATGAAAGCGCACAAAACATGCACTGCTATTCCTCAAATGTATACATTTACATTTGCATGTTGTGATATGCTAGCAGTTCACAAGCCTGACGGATTTTTCATGATTTTTCGGCGCGTCTGAACAGAACGACGGCGGGCGGCTCGTCATGCCTCCAGCGGCACCAGGCAGAGGAGATCGTCTGGATCTACATCCTCCAACGCACCTAAGAGGGTGGACGGAGATCTAGGGATCCCTAGCTGGACAAGAGTTCAAGTTGGCTACGGCTAGAGAAAGGGTGGCTGGCAGCTCCCGTAAAGTACGGTGAACGGTTCATGATGGGTAATCTGATCTCGAATCGACAGAAGGTCGCAACTCAGTGGAGCCGGACAAGTAGTATCCCAAAATCCCAAGTCCTTGAAACATTCTCATCTTCCTGATTCAGGCTGATAGGCCACTACTTTCAGCTCAAGAAACTGGTACAACTGCATCCGGTCACCAAAAGTACGCTTCTGAGTTACCTCTCTCTTCTAAAAACATGAGAAACTCTTGAGGTCTGCACCCATGTGAGGTCTCCACCCCTGCGTCTCGCGGCGTTTCTTCGCGCCTACTTGTGCCCAGGAGCGAACGCCTCGTCCGCTGGGAGTCGGGGAGTAGAAGAGCAGTCCTGGACGTCGGATGAATGACGTGATGCCATCGTCCCAAACTCCTTTTTGGGGGGTGGAGAGCAGTCCTAGCGGCCTCCACATGTGGGGAGCATCACAAGTTCAAACTTTCAAGGTGGATGAGCGCGTTCACCCACTACCACCTCTAGCGCAAAGGCCAACACAAACAGTGTTCTCAATTCTCAATCATATTCAATCAATTTCAATCGTATATCCCACTATCCAGCAAGATTCTGAATGGATCTAGATGATGAATGGATCTTGACACAGTGTCGACTGTGTATAACCACCCACCCAAAGCCATGTAGCTCCGTTCGACGCGCAGGGACTCTCCGCCGAAGTCTCGGTCCGAACAGCGCGCCCCACGGCCTGGGTGTAGCACGATGCCCCGTCCAGCTGCCCATGATGAAAGAGTGCCGCGGAAGGGATGTGCATGGCACAGCATGTATAGCCGCGGCGGGAAAGGACAAAAGGATCTCAAATGGATGGAAAGGCAGAAGTAAATATACTGTATATAAGTGAATCCTCTTCAAAGTAGCCAGCAACTACTGGAGAAATACTGCTGGAATCAACACTAGGTGTTTGTTGTTCTATGAGATGGGTTCCTCACTCAATCATTTGTGCCTGTCCAGTTTCCAGTACTCCAAAGATGGCCACTTACCTTCTTTTTCAAGCGCTCCCCCCGAGAAATCACCAAGAAGGTGCTCATGGTGTTCATAGCTTTACTTCAAACGACACATGTGATGTAGAAAGTAGTCTTGCTTTTGTTGAGGTATCAAACTAGGCAAGCGGCTTTTCACGTTTACAAAGGCGACAGCTTGGAATCCCATCGTCCACAAGCTCCAACTTTAAGCTCCAACTTTGAACCAAACACTGCCGGCATGTGAGCCACGGATAGAGCAGATTCATGCTGATGCACCAATTTCACTGCTTGAGCAGCAGCATTGGTGCTTCACGTGGTGGCGAACACACGAGAGTTGGCCAATCCCACCGATCATGGGAGTTGGCCCACAGGATCGTCACAGTTTGAAGTCCGTTGGGTCAAAAGTCCTGCATGGATGACATCGACCTCCAGGAAATTTCTCCGGACCAAACACATGACCCAGCCCACAAAGGGTTGAACCTGGTTGAACAACTGGACATGGGAAACCATGTGAAGCCTGGGGGTTCAGCGAGTGGGCAAGGAGTTTTCATGTCGTTCTCGTTCCAATCGCATCCTGAGGGCGTGGCTTTGGGTTTTTTCTTGGCTTTGGGGGAGTCTACCTCACTTTCATCCTGGCGTGAGGCAGAGTCGTCGGTGGGATGGGGCATGCAGCAGGCCAAAGATCTTGGTCATTGTTTACCACTAGTTTCTGGTTCTCGAACAATTGCGGTTTGAAGCTTCCTGAGAAAGTCCATCGAAGATCGAGCAATCTGAAGTATCCAAAGGGGTTCTCTCCAAATATGAACAATGTTTAACGTGCCAATGGCCAATGCAGTGGCGTGCCTTTCCGCTTCCCCCACTTCACCAGACGTGTTTGTTTGTTAGATGACACCATCGTTTGGTACAATCGTCCAAGAAGCCTCTACCAAAACTGCAGTGGCCCCCTCCGGTCTTTGGTTTGGCAAACTGCCCAGCTTTGTCCTTGAAAGGAATTGCTCTGCTCTATCTTCGATTTGCATCCATGCCTTTCTTGCTAAAATCGTGCAGATACATTATCTGCTTCCAATTGCTCAGCGACCACAGCAACCAGCTTCACTACTGCAAACATATCCAAATATGATCTCTTGGAAGGGGTGGCTACGGCTATGATGTGCATCACGGTGATCCCAGACCCCGTCCATAAAGAATCAAACTCCTCATCCTATTCAAGAAAAAACTTCTGCATTCTGCCTCAGCTGGTGCCCCTCCAGTTGCACTGGAGTCAAAGGTCATGGAATTCTCCCTTGGACTTCAAACCCGAAACCGGACAAAACCGGCACCATGCCACCTCGCCCGAGGAACCCCGGCGCCCGGTTTCACCACACGGGCGACGCGTGTTCCACCGCACCGTGACGGCGCTCTGTGCCGTGGCGGCGGAGGCCGCCGAAGCGAAGCTCTCAGCCGTTTGGCCTGGAGCGACCACAGCCACCGGGGATCACTTCCACCACTTTCCACAACAGCACAACTGCTGGACCGCGCTCTGCGTGAGGAAGAAGAAGAGGTTGTTGTTGTTGTTGCTGCTGCTGCTGCTGTGGTTGTTTTGGAAATGAATGGTTGCCGGTGATTAGAAATGAAGATCTCACGAAAACCCAAGACATGCATCCCTCTGCCAGTCGTGCTAAGGGGAAAGACACATGCAATTTTCGCCCCAAATGGCTCACACTGGGATGGGTTGGAGGCAAACCTTCGTAGTTTCGTAGTCTAGCAGAAGTACTGCAGAAGTACTGCAAATGAGTCTTCTTCCCTTTTATCCACACCTACCGACCTTCGTATTAGGGGGTGATCAACAAATCTCCTTGGATTTGTGAAACACTGGGAAAGGCTGCTTCATTGTTCCTGCCATTGTGCACGAACACAAACACCCACCCGCTACATACAGCATGTCCAGAACGTATGGGAATGTCAAGTCATGACTTCCAAACCCATACAAAGTTTGTTTACACATAAGCAAGCCGAGTCATCCCCGGTATATCCACCTATGGGTGCGACCCGAAAAACAAAAAACAACACCAAAAAAGCAAAGAAACACGCAAGATCTGGAGGCTCCAGGCCCATGTCATCGGTATCCTGCGATCCTTTCTTTTTGCCGCCTCACGTGTGATGTGCGCTTGGAAGTTGGGCTAAACATGTTAGCGTTTCTTGAGTACTGCACAAGGATGAGCGTGGCTCAAGAAAGAACACCAAGCCAAATCCTAGAATGTGTTGGTAAACACATCACTTTGCCAGTCTGAAGCAACGGAAAAGCGTTTGAAGAAGAACGAAGAGTATCTAAACATGAATGGCTTACACGAACTACAGGTGCATAAGAGGCACTCCTGCCACGTGTTCAACTCTCCGATTTTTTGTGAGGGATACGGAATCGTAGACCCGTTGCCACCCGGCCATCCGGCCTTTCTTTTTCGGCTTCTCTTTCTTGCCCTCCACCTCTGGATCAGCCTCCCCTTCGTCCTGAAAATGTGCAGAATTGCGGATATGCGCGTCATATTTCCTTGATTGGGTCAAGTCGGTAGACTCCCTGGAATCATCATGGACGTGGAGAACGACCTGCTTGTAGAGGAAAATTGTAATTCGAGGCCATTCTCCACTTTTCCATTTCCATGCTGATTTGATTGAGTGTGAATGCTTCAGAGATCTTCAGATCAAAAGCTGCGCACCACGCTAGGACAACGAAAAAGAGGTTCGTAGTTGAAATGTGCCCGGGGATCCAGCAGTTCCGAGCACTACTCTTCCAACCATGACGGTTGGAACCTAGTTTCTAGGACGCTCATGGTCGTGGATCTCTTTCCCCATGGGCATTTTCCATGAACGCCACTTTGCCTTGTGGTTCTTCACCCATGTCTCAAAAAGCAACAAGACACCTTGGACTCGGCCGTGTTTTGGGGGCGGCGTTCGCCCCGTCACGTTCGCGTTACCGGCACGGTCCTGGAAAGAGGTGTGGTCAGCATTTGGAGAGGAAAGGAACACGGAAAAAGCATGAAACCAAACACAAAAAAACAGAGGAAGGATGGAAAAAGGCAAGACTTCTCATGTTGAGCCTGTTTGGTGCCTAGAAAGCCAAAAATGACCAGTTCAGAACGAATTGGAGCTTCTGTGTCCTGTTGAACATCCAGGCCTTTTTGGGCATCCTTTTTCCAACATAAGTGATTCCCAAAGCCAAGCACTGAGCTCCCTACAGTCAAAGAATCGGTCTTGGAGGTCTCGGCCTCTACATGACAAAGAGCGCAGCGCTGCGAAGGGATTACTACTAGCGTGGCACTTGTTACTAGAAGCGATGCACTTGTTTCTAATAGCTATTTGTTACTACTAGTAAGGCACTTGTTACTACTTGCGTGGCACTTGCAATTTTTCCCAAGGAAGAAAGCTATGTGTCTTAAGGATTCTTGTATAAGGGTCATTATACTCGTGTGTCCGTGTGAGCAGAATTGCGTTCAGCCATGGCGCAAATTCTATCTTCCCGCTAGCAACCCGCTCTCTTCTTTAATTATGGGTGGGGACCAAGAACATGTTGAACAAGTCTTAGACTCAACAAAAGGCATATTGCCCCATCTGAGAGTGCTTGCAAAACCTTATCGTGGATTGAGATCACGAAGTTACCAACAGCGGTCGAGACGTTCCCTTTGTCAATGACTTCCGAGCTGCCTCTGTTTTGCTGGTCTCCGCAGAGGCAAGCACAGACGCCTGGCTGCCGGCGATCTTTGGAACCCAAAGATGCCCTCTTTTGTGGAGCAGCAGCAGCAGCAGCACCAGCACTTAAAAGTGACATGATCAGACCAGCATACCTCTCCGTCGCTTCAACTCTCCCCTGAGATGTTGCTGAGTTTTCGCTCATATCCCACTGTTGACCGGGGGAATCTGCGGCTGAATGGATGTGGCAGACAGCCCAAACAAAAACAAACAAACCTGAAAAACTGACCAGAATCTCTGATGCTCTGGGTCCCAGGCTGTGTGGTCAGATGAGGGTTCCCTGAGGAGTGCACCACCGGAGGCGAAGCTGTGTTGCTATTAAAGGAATCCTGTCAACATCAACTCTTGGAACTCCACAAATCACAAAGCCTTGCGAAAACAACTCGCTGTTGAGTTCTCAAGGCAAGAAATCCGAGGGCGCAGCTTTGAAGCCTTCTTTCCCTTTTTCTTCTTCTTGGAAGATGACGCATCCTTAGACCAGGCCGTGTATAGAATGCCATGTTTCATCAACTGTTTCCCAAATGATGCTCGGACAAAGGACCCACTCCTCGTGGGGATCGAATCGGTGCTCAGCGACAGACATGTTCACCAAACATCTGGGTTCACCATCCTACCTGCCAGTGTGGGTCCCAAAAGCTTGCCAATGTCTTTTACGTTGCGCTCCAGCACCGATCTCGGATTTCAGGAGAAAGAAGCCATGAGTCTCCTTTCTAGCCATGGCCACGGCCCAACTCCGTGACTTTCCGCTTCACTCACTGAGAATGATATCTCTATCAAGAATCCACCCCCCAAAAGAAAATCCGTGGATGATGGTGGATGGGTCCTGGTGGATGCTCGTAAACCATGCGCTCTTCCGTTCGCGACGGCGTTTCATCTCCGCCCTCAGTCCCGCACCGACCCGGCCGATGCTCCAGACGCGGCGGAGGCCGCGGAGGTGGGCCGTGTGACCTGCGCGGGGGAGGGCGAGTCCTGCAGGGCCGAGCATCGGTCAAGTCAAAGGCAACGAAGAACAACGAAGAACACCCTGACCCTGTTGCCAAGAATTTGGAGCTCATCAACCTGGAGTTCTTTGAACTTTTGAGCTTTTTCGAGGACCCTTCAACATTAAAATCATGTGTATAAATATATATATATATATGTGGCTAATCCTATTATTCCTTTCATTTGTTTCATGAATCGAAACTTTTTCGCTAGTTCGTGGATCGGAGCGTGCTCCTAAAGAACATGTCTACTCTAGTTAACATGTTGTCGCTGTTGAACTACACTATGTAAAGAAAAAACAAGTGGCATATTACAATATGATCTACACTCAAGGTTGAAGATTGCTACAAGTACAATATCTATACTCTACTCTCTTTGTCACTTGCAGCATCTGCACGACAAACCTTGAGGAATACCATGGAATACTGGTGGTGTCCCCCCCAAATGCCAAACGTTTGCACAACCTGTCAAAGTTGCCACTGTCAGGATTTGTGCCTGGAAATGTTGAGTTCTCAGTTTGTTAGCCTGTGATGATACATCGGAGAATCCTCTACACACTGTGAGGGCTGCGCAAGGAAACATTGAGTTGAGACTTGAGTTTGACAGTGGGGAAAGGAATCCGACATTCCTTGACTTTACAAAGTGTTGCAGCTGCATAAGGACAAATCAAGGTTTCGACAGCGGGGACACTTCCGTCCACCAGCTCTGCGAAAAGATTGAATGACCTTGTATTTCTCTGTCGCTCAAAAGGACATAACATAAAAAAACCTTCGATAGATCTTTCGCGAAAGAGAAAAATACATTGTGAACCTCATCGCGGATCTTTCGCAAATGGTTTGGACAGCATCTACAAGGTCGTTTCGTACAAAGCGTGTGTATACCAGTATATTGCGTGCTGTCCGTCATACCAAACACCTGTCTTTCAGCGCTTCTTCTCTTGATCGCAGTTTTGTGTGTGTGTGTGTCCACCCCTGGACAAAGGGTTTTCCACCGCTACTCCTTCCACAGTTTTTCAACCACCTTTTTCAATCACATGCAGGGGAGTGGAGCAGGCCTGCAGAGCTCCACTTAACAAAGCTCTCTGCAGTGTCCTGAGGATATCGGCCAGGACGCTGGCCGACGTACCTGCAACCAACGGTTGAGCAAGCTGTTCCAATCACCTTTTTTGTTTCCATGGTTGTTCATGATACTCCCCACAAACCCACTCTTCACCAGCTTTCAGCCGTCTGTGCCTTGCAGCCAGCCGCGCGAGTGAAACTTTTTTCAACAATTCAAGTCTTTGGACCTTTTCGCCTTGCTGTTCCATCACCTTCCTTCCCAACGTGGTAACTGAGTCACTGAATACAAGTGTCAGAGTGTGTTTCGCTCAGCCGTCCCACTCGGGTGCTGAGTGTGATCCCCGTCACAGGGGCGCAGTTTTTTACATCGGAAAGCAACCAACCCAACATGCCACCTCTCACCGGATTTCCACTGGAAGTCTTTGACACACCCTTTGAATCAACAGATGCATTGGCCGCCGGGCCCAAACACGGAAGTCCCTCGACAGCCGCCGGGCTATAAAACGGTGCATTGCTTAACCCCCAATGAGGCAGGTTCCCCCACCCCCCCCCCGCTGAGTTCTACTCCCTACCTATTTGGGGCAACATAGGGAAATGGTACTCGACACACTTTCCTACCCGGGCGGTCTAAGACTAAAGTCCCGCTCCCTAACTATTGCACCCAATTAAGACCTGCTAAGTAGTCAGTAACTAATTCTTGTTGAAACCTTCTGTTGATCGGACCCAGCACTTCTTTCCGTTCCCTCAAGTCAAGGGCTAAGTATTCAGTAACTAGAGCGCTAGGTAGTCAGTAACTAGAAGGTTTTGTAACTAGTGGGCCTCGTAACTACCCCTATCTTTCTTTCTTCCCCTCTTAGCGCTGCTCTTTCTGTCTTTCTTTCCTTTTGTTTCTAAGGCTTTTTAGGTGACTATTTAGTTTTCTCACATGCGCGCCGAAAAAGCGCCGAAGCCGGCGACCTGTGTGTGTCCACCCCTGGACAAAGGGTTTTCCACCGCTACTCCTTCCACAGTTTTTCAACCACCTTTTTCAGTCACATGCAGGGGAGTGGAGCAGGCCTGCAGAGCTCCACTTAACAAAGCTCTCTGCAGTGTCCTGAGGATATCGGCCAGGACGCTGGCCGACGTACCTGCAACCAACGGTTGAGCAAGCTGTTCCAATCACCTTTTTTGTTTCCATGGTTGTTCATGATACTCCCCACAAACCCACTCTTCCCCAGCTTTCAGCCGCCTGTGCCTTGCAGCCAGCCGCGCGAGTGAAACTTTTTTCAACAATTCAAGTCTTTGGACCTTTTCGCCTTGCTGTTCCATCACCTTCCTTCCCAACGTGGGAACTGAGTCACTGAATACAAGTGTCAGAGTGTGTGCGTTTTTTGTGTTTGTGTGTCAACCCCCGTTCCAAAGGGATCGACACGTGACCAGCAGCGGAAAGACCCAGCAGGGGCACTGAGCACTCCCAGCAAACTCAATGCAGCAAAGCTTATTTTGCCTCGGATGCCTTGGATGCACGGATTGATCACCCGATCACAACCCTGATGCAGAAACAGTTGCCAGTTGTTCTCGGCCATTTCAAAGGTATGTTTTCAGGTTTCTCCAGGTTGGCTTGCACCAGAACGGTATTGCCATAACTACATCTATAGCGCTAATGCATTCCCTGCAAACTTCTGAATTGGGCTCCGTCCGAGCTTCCTCCTAAAAGTGTGTGTGAGACTCTGTGTGTACGTAAAGACGCTAGAATTTCAATCGCAAATTCTCTGTTTCCAGAAGCTGTCCATTCACAAGGTTTCACGGCTGTCCTCATCGAACTCTGCCAGCGGATCTGTTCTTGAGGCTTTCTTTTTGATGGTCTCCTGCCACGCCCGCGGTAGATGGGAAGCGTCAAGTTTCACGCAGGTCGAACCTGCGGAAAAGTGACATCAATTGGTCACTGGTCATCAAGTGGTAGGGCAAGGCAATGTGGGGAAGCAACCTCCAAATGCAACTGCAAGCAGATGAAATTCATTCTCACACTCTGGACATCTCTCAACCAATTTCTATCCAAACCTCAAGAGTATGTGTATATGTAATATATATATATTACATAAAAATGCACAATAATCATATATCTCAAAACCGGGGTCGGGATGGGTTTGGCCGCTTGAGAGGAATCCAATCCTTCTTTTTTCCGCCAGTCCTCCAGATCGGCATCTCCAGGTCGTAGAGTGGGATCCTTCATGCCCAGATGCTCTTTGTCCAACCAGGTACTGCGAGCGACCCGCGCGGACCGTCTTGACGGGTCCGATGGGTCGAGGCTGTCGAGTGGCACCGTGGGTGTGAGGCTGGTCTTGCCAAATGGGGGAGACCTCCATGTTCGACCCCCTGGAAGGAAAATAGACCAACACCCATATTAAAATACACACAACAAATCTATCCAAATCTACAAAATCCACACAACAAATCTATCCAAATACACACACACACAAACTGAATCTCTGTAAATCCCCCGCAGAGATCCAGTTTGGGATCCTTGGCTTGAGTTGGGATCGCCAGATCAGGTGCATCCCAGTGCATCCCACCACCTCACCCGCCCACGTCCAAACCAATGCATCAATGCCGATGTCTGGGACGACCATTTTCCCCTGCAAATAGGCTTCCACGATTAGTTCGGGGAGTGTCTCCTTGCAAACCAGCCTGAATCCAGGCCAACCAACCTCCCACACACCCCAGGCCATCAGCCTGGACCAGGCCCACTCCCCTTCCCCGTGCCCGAAACGCGTGGTTCCGCGGCGGTGGAAGCCCCACTGAGACACGGACTCGGCGGCATAGGCCTTCACACCGCCCGCCGGAGGGATCTTGCCTGCGGAAGTGGCAACGGTGGCCCAGCAGAGACCCAACGATGTCCCATCCCATAGAAGAAAACTTCATGTTTGTGCCAAACGGCCCTCCACCAAGCAGAGGTGAATCTACACTCCCTGAATAATCCATGGTGGCGTGGATGGCGCCAGCATGGACGGCGCGGCGGATGACCCGTTTACTCTACGAAGAGGTTATTTTCCACTTCCATGGCTAGTGATGCTAGTGACTCGGAGTGTGTTCAATCTTCTGCTAACCTGGGAACGAAGGACTCTGCAAAGTCTGACTGTGCGGTAGTACGGAGCAATGCACATACAAGGCATTCGCATCCCACCGCAAGACTTTCCACATGCATCTCCAAGTGCGGGTGGAGAATCCAACTTGGAACTTGGTTGGGTCTCACAATATGAACAGCCACCACAGTTCTTCGAATGCTTGCACAAGGGGCAGACTGGCTCAGGCTAGCTCTTTTCCGTCACAACTGGTCATTTCACGGCTCGTTCTGGGACACTTCAGCGAACGAGGACATGGTGGTCTGACCTGAGGAATGACGGTTTTTTCTCCACGGGACCAAGCATGTTGGTTAGGCCAAACGTCAATTGGAACAGGTGCATTGTTGATTTAAACAAACATGTGCATAAAATGTGTATATATTTGGGTCTATCCTAAGACCAGCTGTATTGGGTCTATCCGAAACTGTTACAGGTACTAGGACAGACTCTATGTAAAACAATGAGTATCTTGATTCACAGGTGTATGTTTAAAGATTCACCCAGGTCTTGTGACATTCTCGCTCCTCCGACCGACACCCGCCTTTCAGCACATCCGTTCCCGTGGCTGGGTGCCGCGTCAAATGGAAGGACCTGTCGTGAGGCATGGACTGGGGCGCATCGGGCACAGCGACGGTTTTAGGGTCCAATGAGAAACCCTTCTCCCCGAAGTCCTCGAGAGACACCCATGTTGTATTTATGTGTTTATCTTTCTGGCATGGAGGTTGAGGGGAAGGAGTGGGTCCTGCAAAGAGGGTCGTCCAAGGATGTCCAAGGAATTCTGAATGCTCACTCCGAATCAAAGTCCTGTGAAAGGCGTTGGACATCATGTAATCCAACTATTGTTTTTTCAGGTTTCAACTGACCCCATGTGTCCCTTTCGACAACTCTGCAAACAACTGAAACATTCTCACCTCCTGTTCCGCTAACGTCGCAAAAACCGAAACAAAGTACCCTAGCTAGTGGTTCCCATCTACTTGGTCCAGGACTGCATGAAAACCTCACAGAACGTCATGATCATCATAGTATGGGATGTTCTCGGAGATGAAGATCATGGGATGATGAAAACTACATCCACCCTGCTGTGAACCTGGTCAATGGCACCCCACATCTTGGGGAGCTTCACACCAGCCAGATTTCATGAATCTCCATCCACCGCCCGAAGGCACGCCGGCTGGACGCCGTCATGGTCACCTTTCGCTTCTCTTCGGGTAGTCGGATAATGGGCTCCTGCAGATGTGGCGACGTTCTCGGAGTCCAAGCTGGTTTGCGGGCCATCCATCTCACTGGCGGGCTAAGAATGCTCCTAGTAGCGATGCCAGGAGCCCCTAGTAGCGATGCCCTTGCTCCTAGTAGCTTCTTGTTCCTAGTAGTAAGGCCAGGAGCCCCTAATAGCGTCCTTGCTCCTAGTAGTTGCGGGCCATCCATCTCATTGGCGGGCAACAAAAAACCGGGCGCCATCTGCTTTGATGAAAAATGGACTCACCGAACTCACCGAAGTCCATGATGGACTCACCGAAGACCTGCGAACTTCTTTTTTCTGGTCTTTTTGAGCCCACACCGGTGCACCTGTTGTCCCAGCTCCGTGTCCCACCGAACAACCCGTTCACCTTCACCGGTTTAGGTTTCGCCTCTTTCGTGGGTGCCGTCCACCGTTGGACCTCTTGGAGCACAAGGATGTCTGACCTTGGGAATACCTTGGGGTCAGTGCCGGGTACCTTTTGCCATCCTTTGCCTTGTGTGGCTGTGAACACGGAAAAAATGAAAAGGGGTATCCGGTATCCCCAACTCCTCTATTCATCAACCAACTTCCATCTATATTCCATCTATGGCAGAGCCCCTCCAAGCAATGGACTTTCAGCGTTTTGTGCTTCTCCTCAAGGTGTTTTTTTGGGGAAGGCAGAAAGATTCACTTGCTCACTTGCTGGTCCTTTCTGTGGTCGTGTCGAGCCATCAATGCCCCCTCCTGAGGGCCGCCTTATGCGAACTGCTTCGCTATGCTGTGCCTTCCATCAGATACAGCGAGCAAACACAGGGCTCACAGCAGCCAAGGCGGAAAACAGGCCCACTCTCCGTGGCGATGCACGGAAGAAATCTTCACCCATGCGCGGTGAGACCTCCTTTGGACCATGGCTCAAAAGGATCGGGTAACAGAACCACTCCCTACAGGCGAAAAGCGAACGGAAAAACCGGATGGGAAGCGAACCGCTCAGGGCCAATCTGAGCATCCACCCCTTGAACGAACACCTTGAATCTGGGGCTGTCTTATGAGAACCAGTCAGTGTTCTGCCTGTTCTCCGGTTCCCTCCTCCTCAGGTACTTGGACCCCCCCCCGCGTGCAACGAGCCTGAACCACCTCGCTCCGAGCCCGAGACGGTCAGGTTCTCCGCACCGAGCCGAGACGGGTCTCCGCGGTCCTTGGCGATCTCTTCGGAGGCTCGCTCGTAGAAGGTATACATCGGCTGCTTCTCGTAGGGAATGGCCTGAGTCTCATCTTTCGTGTTAAGAGTCTTTGCTTTCAAAGGCCTCCAAAAAGGGTTGGCTCAACAGTTGTGAAGCTGCCATCCCGTTCCTACTCCCACCTCCGAAAAGGGAGATGAAGGGTGTTTGGGCCCATGGCACTTCGTTGTTGGATCAGGACCTACTGGTGTCTGAACCATCAATCATAAAACAGATCCAGGTGCCAGCCATGTGGGTGCTTGCTCCTTCTTATTGAGGGCCACAACCTACAAATCCTATGCTTCATAGGGACGAGTGCAGTAGGGGAGAGTATGCAGCTGCATCAGCATGAAACAAGGTACTCCATCGAGATTCATTGATGAACGCCTTGAAGGTATCTCAGACATTCTCGCACATAACTATGTTGGCGAGCCTATGTGTGTGTGTGTCGACCCCTGTTCCTAAGGGTTTTGGTTTCTTGCATACGGCTAAGTGACCACTTGTCCACGTCTTGCAGCTAAGTATTCACAGGCCGGGCATTTACATGCATAGGCACACACACAACCCCCCCTACCCTGGGCCTCGTTGCTACCCCACCCGCTTTTCGGGCAACAGAAGGAAATCGCACTCAACACACTTGTGCGTTGGTGCCTTTCCTTCTGTTTCTCCTAGCTATTGCTAGCTACCCGGGCGGTTTAAGACAAAATGTCCCGCTCGCACTCTACTTTCATTTAACTAAGTGGGCCTCGTAACTACACCTATCTTTCCTTCTTGCCCTCTTAGTCTGCTTTTGTTTTGTTTGCTTTTTCTGTCTTTCTAAGGCTTTTTAGGTCGCTAGTAGTCTTCACAAAACGCGCCAATATTGGCGCTATATGTACAAAGTTTTGCGACCGGTGGACACCAACGACGCTACTAGGGGCTTCTGGCCTCGCTATCAGGAGCCAGGACCTCCGACCTTTCTACAAGGTGTAAGGACGCTACTAGGGCCCCTGGCTTTGCTACTAAGGCCTCCTGGTATCGCTACTAACTTACAGTCTCTCAACGCAGAAAAAGAG